GTTTGACTTCTCTTGAAACCAGGAAAGCAAGAAGAGAATAGAGTGAAATGTTTAATGTTAAGGGAAAACATCAACCTAGGATTTTGTGCCTTGCACTTCAAGAGTAAAGAAGAAATAAAACCTTTTCCAGAGTAACAAAAACTTGTTGGGGTAGGGGAGGATTTCTTGCCAGCAGTAGACCTGCTGGTAAGAAATGTTAAAAGAAATTGAAAATTGAAAGAAAATGAGTTGGGGTTGGAAGTGTGGCTCAATTGGTAGAGTGCTAGCCAATGAGCAAAAGTGTCCGGTACTGAGTATGAGTCCTGGTCTTGGACCTAGCAGAAAAAAAAAAAAAAAGAAAAAGGATTTAAGATCAGAAACTGCTGCATAAAGACAAGAATAAATACTAGCAAACCTGTGTTTGATTATATATACTTATGTATATTAGGAAGGGGTTACATCCTAACATTGTAAATTGATGATGTTCTAAGTCAAGGAAGAACTTTGCCCACATCATAGCACAGTGGAAGCGCAGTGCCCTGTGGAGTATTGTTGCTCATTCTCATGTTCGTGTGGTCACTGCTCTGCCCAGAATCACAAGAAAGCATGGTATTATTACATGTCACCAGCCTGGGAGAAGATCAGAAGACAAAATGTTGGTTTCTGTAATTGCCTGCAGCATTATAAGACCATAAGGCACACCACTGTAGGTTGGGGACCAAAGTTGTGAAATATATGATGGTGATGTTGAGGGAGTGGAGGGAAGGGCTGGGAATAGGGGTCTATGGAGAGTGTTCCCTGAAAGCTGGCTTGGATTAGCTATAGGGCTGTCTTGCCCACTCTATGTTAACCACAAGGAGCAGGAGAAGGAGGAATAGGAGGAGGAGGAGGAGAAGGAGGAGGAGGAGGAGGAGGGTTAGAACTATTGAAATGTTAAAGAAGAAAAACTGAATCCTATAATGCCCATTTTGAACCACAAATAGCAGGAAATGTGTGGAAGATAAGAAGGAAGAAAGGACAACAAATTCTAGTTACAAATACAGTAGACAGCACTCTAACTGTACCACTTTAAACACTAGTGGTCTGAACAAACCAACTAAAAGACAGATTGTCACTCTGGATCGAAAATCAAGAACTGACATTTTATATATAAAAGCAGATACAAATTAAGGAAAGGGAGCCAGTAGTCAGTGACTTCACACCTGTAATCCTAGCTACTCTGGAGGCTGAGATTTGATTATCACAGTTCAAAGCCAACCTGGGCAGGAAAGTCTGTGGAAAGTCTTATCTCCAAAAAACTATAAAAAATGCTGGAAGTGGAGCTGTGGCTTGAGTGGTAGAGTGCTAGCCTTTAGCAAAAAAGCTCAGGGACTGCGCCTAGGCCCTGAGTTCAAGTCTCAGGACTAGCACCAAAAAAAAAATAAATAAATAAGGAATAGAGGACACATTAAAAAAAAACTAATAGAAAGCAAGAGTAGCTATATTAATTTTCAAAAGAAAACATTTCCTCCCAAAGACAATTACCAGTGATGAAACAGAATATTACATAGACAAAGGGCTCTTTATGTAATCCGAGGGGTATTACTTGAAAAGGCTCCAGCAATACCAAAAGCATGCGCAGCCGACAAATGCAGACTGCGCATTAACTCCCCTACTCACCCACACACACTCCTGTGGGCCACACACATTCTGGGCCATCAAACCGATGTCATAAATGTAAACATATAGGATGCATCCCGTGTCTCTTCTCAGATCACCACGGAATGAAATAATAATAATAATAGAAAGTTGTAAAACTATCATGTAAAGGCCTTCTGTTGAAGAAGAAACTTCAGCTTAACTAACCAGGATCTGCAAAGGAATGATCTGAACAATTAAGGACTGTCTGCTGATCTGAACCAAATAGGTCAATATGTAATTGAGTCCAGTGAAGTATTTTCCCCAGGCCGAAAGCTGTTTGTTCCGATTCTCTTTGGGAAACTTCAAACCGCTTTCAAATTCAGTGCTTCCTGGTTCATGAATCACTATTTGCTAAAAATAGACACTTTTCTAAGTTTTGCTTCAGTTTACATTGTAAGAACACAAAAAAAAAAAATTCCTAAGTCCTGGACCTTGTCGGAAAGGGGCCTGTGCAGATGCTGCAGGCTGTGTGAGCCGCTGCTGTGGGTGGACGCCACCTGACCTCACAGCCCTACACAAGCCGTCCACCACACTCACTGGCAGGATCATGGGGGGGGGAAGGACTATGCTGGAGCCCCGCCCCTTCCCCATCTCTTGGCTCCCATCAACACCAGTGCCAGCTCCCAGCTGCATGTGTCATCTACTCTGTGCTTTCTGGCACATCTGCTATCGGGTATGAGGTGCCCGGCCTGGGCTTGGAGCGCCAGGGATCGTGACCACCACGTGGCCTGCGGCCATCCTCCATGACTCCCGGGCGTGGCTTCTTGCGGTGGCAGCGACTCCAGCCCTGCTGTGGCCGGCAATGGCCGCCTGGCCCTGTGTGTTGTGTTCATCACGCCAGCACTGGACTGGACCAGCGTGACCCCTCGCAATCTTATCTCTGTTCCTGCCCGAGGTTCCTAAAATACTTTGCCAGGGTGAATTAAAAATAGTAAGAATGAGGACCTGAAGTGTGGCTCAGTGGTAGAGTGTTTGCCTAGCAAGCCTGAGGCCCTGAATTCTAACACAGTAAACAACTCCCCCCCAAACAGAAAGGATAAATTTAATCCTGGTGCCAGTAACTCAAGCATGTACCCTAGTGACTCAGAAGGCTGAGATCCAGAGGATCACAGAACAAAGCCAACCCCTGCGGAAAAGTCTGCTAGACTATGTCTCCAAGAGAGCCATCAAAAAGCCAGACAGGAGGCATGGTTCAAGTGGTAGGGCACCAGCCAAGCAAGCATGAGGTCCTGAGTTCAAGCCTTGGTACTGGCAAATAAATAAACAACACAAAAACACATGAATAGGCAAAAATAGTAAGGATGGATGGCCGAGACCTGGCTCAGCAAAAGGTTGAGGAGCGCTGACTATTTCTCACTTGCACGTGCAGTCTGTGTGGGATATTCAGACTGCCACTGCTTCTCCCAGACAGGGGGGAGGGACCAGCTCTGAGGCTGTGTCTGCTGAGCCTTCCTGGGGTAAGGGCTGGGGCCTTAGTGCTGGGTGGCAGAGTTGTGACTCACTGGCCCAGGCCGGCAGAGGCCTGGGGTGGAGTCTTGACTCATGATACAGCGCCTGGCAAAGCCATGGATGCCGAGCCAGCAAAGTGAGGGTGCTGACGCGTCACGCATGAGGTAGTAAAGCAGGGCGCTTTCATTGGTTCTCAGCCCCCCGTGGTGGGGCCTCTCTGGAGGGAGCCAGGAATACAATGACAGCAGAGAGGAAGAGAACTTGGTGGAGGTACACAGGCAGCGGGGCCTTGAGGACGTGCGCAGGGCGGGCGGGCGGGCGGGGAGCGGGCTCATCGCTTGGCCGGCCTCTGCCACCGGCCGTCCTGCGCTGCCCCCTGCTCTTGCTACAGGCCTCAACTTACCCTGGTGCACTTGCTATTTTGAAACCTGCCCCTCCCTCATTTTCTGGCCCTGCAGTGCAGGTGCCTCCTTTCTAGCTCTGCCTCCTGCCTCCCCTAGAATGTGCGAGAACGACCGTCCTTCCCTGTACCCTGCTGCAGGCCACCTGAGCCCTGCACGATCCGAGGCGTGCGAGAGGCCTACAGTTGGCTTGAAGGACGTCTCCCAAGTCACCCGACACTTCCTGCTTCATGACCCGAGGCCCTCTCTTTAATCTTCCCTTCCCTTCCTTTTTTTGTGCCAGTACTAGGGCTTGAACTCAGGACCTGAGTGCTGTCCCTTAGCTTTTTCACCCAAGGCCGATGCTCCACCACTTGAACCACAGCTCTACTTCCAGCTTTTTACTAATTAACTGGAGAAGAGCAAGCTGGCTTTGAACCGTGACCCAGTAGCAGGCATAAGCCACTGGGCCCTTGCTTAATCTCTTTTCTGTGTGTGTGTAGCCTTAGAAGGGCAAAATCATCCAGCCTGCTTCAGTGCGGCACAGAGTTCCTGACGTGTGCAAAAAAAAAAGCAGAGAGCCACAGAGGGACAGGAGGGGCGGCTTGGGAAGAGATGCAGCTCAGCAGAGGCCTCGGAACCCCACCTTGCAGTTCCCAGGCCAGGCCACAGCAGTGCAGAGGGGCCCACAAGAGAGCAGGGTCTCAATGCGGGTCTGACAAGGAGCCACTCTGTTTCTGGTGGGCGTAGGATTTGCTGGTAACAGCAGTGGGCTGGCCTTAGGGGAATGAGGGATGCTGAGCCGCAGAGTTTTGGAAGGGGTCTGCACATGTGCAAGGTTGCCATCCATGGGCTTAAATATATGGCTACGACGTGATGCATAATCAAGTAGGATTTGTGGGGCATCCATCAGACTAAGGACTCATCCAGTTGACCCCTGCAGCCTCAGTTTGGCTAGAACTAGGATGGAGATTTCCTGACCCCTGATGACCCCCAAGGGGGCGTGGCTATGAGAGGCACTGGGGAGGTGGAAGACTGACTCCTGTGTCTGGGGGTGGGGGGCTGATGGAGAGGGAGCTGAACTTCCCCCTCGCACCCCTCCTGGGACCACACCTGGGCTGGAATCCTGGTTCTACCTTAGGCTGTGCAGCCTTGGAAAGGTTTCAGTCTCTGATGCATGTTACTCCTGGCTGAAGGAGGCCATGGTGAGCTTCCCTGTGTCCCGGCTGCCGGGTGGGGTTGTGGGGCTCAGGCCTCTTCTGCAGGTGCCTCTCATGAAGTGGGCGGAAGCTGGCGGCTGCTGGAATCCTCCAGGTGGGAGAGGATTTGCAACTCAACACTGCTGTCTGCGGGACCTTGTGACTTGGCCGGGCCTCCGGACGGGTGTACAGGGACACACGGCCTGCCTGCCTTGCCCTGGGCTCTGGTGTCGCTTGGCCGGGCCTCCCAGTTCAGAGCTGGTGTTGCCGCTGCTGAGGGACACTTCTCTGCTGGGGCGAGGAGGCGACGCACCCCAAAGCCCAGGCATGGCGAAGCAAAGCCGCAGCTGCTCCAGTTGGGCCACCGCACCCGCCAAGAGCTCCCCGGACTCGGCGTGGTCGTGGGTAAGGGCTGGTAGGGTGACATCAGGGCTCTGCTGTCCCTGGGTCCCCTCGGCTGCTGGGTGCTAATGGGACCGGAGGGTCATGTGCTCGTATTTTCCAGACAGGCGCTGTTCCGGAGGTGGCCCAGCGTGCACTCACATATCCGAGGCCGTTTCCTTTGCCTGGGGTGGGCAGAGCTTGGTGGATGCGTTGGTCCCAGGGTGCTGATGGTTTTACTTCATCAAGGAGAGAGGCGGGTGTGCAGCGGCTCTGATGGACGCCGTCTGTGTGTGATGTGGGTCTTCTGTGGACAAGGAGGCAGCTCCTGCCTGCTGCCAACCTCCTGGAAGACGCCAGGGGAGGCCAGGTGGCTCGAAGGGAGTTGCTTTTCTCTGAGCACCCACAGCAAGCGTGGCCAGCATGGCGCATGCCAGGGGCCCTAAGCTGGCCGGGAGCCCTGAGGGGAGGGGTGCTGGGCTGGAAACCCAGGGGGGGCTGCGCCTCCAAAGGCTGGGGGGAGGGGCATGGAGCCCCCTCCCCCAGGGGTGCCTCCCCTCCTCCCCCATCACCACTTACCTTGTGGAGCTCCATGCTTCGGTCTCTGCCTCTGACAGGCTGATCCTGCAGAGGGAGGCCGAATGGGGCTGGGGCTCTGTGTCCTCTGGGCTGCTAGTGCCCGGATGATGGTGACGCATGCTCAGAACCAGGGAAGCCCCTTGGTCCCCAGGGGCAGGAGGCCCTCCTGGGTGGGGGAGGGGGAGCTCAGGCTGGAATGCTGTGAGAGGAGCTGGAGGAAGGAGGGGGACCTGGAGGCTGCCCTACTCCTGCGTGGCACCTGGGACAGGTGTCTCCTGGATGGATGGATGGACAGATGCTTGGAGAGGCGCTTCTTCCTGTTCTTCACTGATCCCTTTCATAATTTTGAAGTTCAAGGCTACCCACATTATGATGGCACAAAGCCGTGTTGTAGATAGTCAGGGATGAAAATGGCTTTGGTGTTTGCCATTCTAGAACTTTCTTCCCCACGTGGCACATTCACATGTAGCATAATGGCCAGCATTCTCCATGGCCTCACCGTCACGGCACCGCCTCTCTGTCCCAGCCCAGGGAGATGTGCAGTTGCTCTTCTATCTGGCAGCTGAGGACACTGCCCATGCCAACGGGGTGGGTATTGGGTATTTCTAAGGATGTGGCAGGAACTCAGGTCGTCTGGTGCAAAGCCCAGCCTTGTCCTGTCCTCCAGGGAAAATCCACAGGCTATAACCTGAGGAGGCTCCGGCTTCATACCTGCTTTCATCATTATAAAAGCATGCCCAGGCAGACACCTACAGCTCCCACCTGTAGTCCTAGCTCCTCAGAAGGGATCTTAAATTATGGTTCAAAGCCAGCCTGGGCAGGAAAGTCTGTGGGACTCTTATCTCCAATTAACTAGCAAAAAAAGCCAGAGGTGAAGCTGTGGCTCAAGTGGTAGGGCACCCGCCTTGAGCAAAAGACCTCTGAGACAGTGCCTAGGTCTCCAATTCAAGTCCTAGTACTAATACAAAACCAAACCAAACCGAAACAAAAACCTATGCTCAGCGTGGAGGGTGGATTGTGGGCAGGAAAGTACAGACAAGATGATAACATGAACGTGAATGCCCTCGGCACGAGAAGCCTGGAGCCGGCTCAACACATCAGGGCTCATTCTTTGAAGGCCCTTAGAAAAACAGCAGAAAGGCAGAACTTCTTGCTCCTTTTATTCCATGACCTCCCTCCCGCCCCTCCCTTGTGTGAGTCCCTTCAGAGTCTGTCTGTTAACTTAGGAAGCTCTAAATCCCAGGCAGAAAGCTCTGGAATGGCCGAAATCCCACCTCAGGCCCTTCTGGGCCTCTGTGGCTGCAGGGGTGGTGTGGATTGTGAAGTCCTGCGGCCTCCACTGCTCCGTAGCTCTGGCTCCCTGCAGGAGTGTCAGGCTTGGGGCCTGTGTCTGAGGCATGGCGGGTATTTAGAAGAATCTGGCATGGGGCTCTGCAAGACCGATGCTTTCCTCTGCTGTGGGGTGGGGTGGGGGCTGAGGCTGGGACAATTCCCTAAGGAACTGCACCCAAGCAGAGGCACAGTGACTCTGGAAACGGAGGCAGGAGCCAGGGTGGGCCGGCTACTGAGCAGGGAAGCTTGGAGGATGCTGTCTGGGGTCTACGAAGCGGGGAGGGAGAGGGCGTGGCTGCAGCAGCCTTGGCTGGGGGCCCAGGTATGGCTGGCTGGCTTCTGGGAAGGGTAAAAGTGGCTCAGCTACCACGGGTCTCCGAAAGGGCAGCTGGCAGTAACGTGAGCCCTCCTGGGCACCTGCTAAGTTGGCACCGCCCACCTGTGGTGCTGGCTCCAGCCATTCCCAGAGACTCTGGATTTGGCCTTTAGACCACAAACATTTCTGGGCTCATAGGACTGTGCGGAGTCCCTGGTGGGGTGGGGCGGGTGGAGGGGGGCAGGCCCCCGCTGGAGGTCAGGCAGAGTGTGAGCAAGTCGGCTGTAGCCAGCCATAAGCTCCTGGAGATGGATCGAGAGGGACCGCCCAACCCTGGTAAGCACAGAAATGCATCTCTGTGAAGCTGCTGCTGGAGCTCGGGTGTGGGGGCAGGAGTAGAATTTCAATAAACACAGCAAACACCACGGTGTCTTCTACACGGCCGGAGGAGCCGCAGCAGAGGCCCGGCGTGAGAGTACAGGGTGTTCACCCCCAAGCTGAGGATCTTTTTTCTCCTTCGTGGGGACGTGTGCAGTGACATTCATCTTGGCCGGGCAGCCGAGCTGTGACAGACAGCAAGTCGTCATGAGCCAAATATAAGCCCAGAGTGAAGGTCGGGGTGCTGGCCACCCCAGCTGCAGCACTCACGGGGGTGGCGGGGAAGGGATGTTGGAGTGTTCGCTTTCTCACCTGTAAAACGAAGCCATTCATCCTGGCACTCAGTCACCATCAAGGTGGCTGGCAGCACAGCTGGCACCGTGAGGGTAATGGAGACAAGAAGTCAAATCCATTCCTGGCACAGAGGAAAACGTGTGGGAGGCAACCCCAGGGAGCTGATGGATGGAAAGTGGAGGACTTTGGTCAACTTGCTTCTCCATCAGCTCCAGGGCCCATCTTGACTAGTGTCCAGGCGAGTGGGAGGCCTCAAGCGCCCCCTGGAGGTGGACTCTGCCATTGCAGGCAGGAAATGCATCCACCCATCGATAGGAGGATGAGACTTTCACCAGCCAGCAGAAGTTGGGATGAACACAGAAGCTCCGTGTACAGGCCCATTGGTCACCTTGTGTGACAGGCGGGTCTGTCAGCCCCACCCAGTCTTCCAGAACCAGTTCACAGTGGTGGATGCCGGGGTTTTCTCATTTTTTTTTGTCCAAATTTTCTTTGCTTGATGTTTATTATGTTTCTGGTGGAGAATGATCTTGTCTCCCTTTGTGGAGTTGGAGTTCAGGGGACGAATCTCTGGGCATTGTTTTCCAGTGACCCAGCTGGTCCTCTGGCTCAGACTATGGCGTGATGGGTACTGAGCCTGCACCTCCTCTTTCCCTCTCGTGGTGGGTATTTAACATTTATGTCCTATTGCATAGGGGTGCAACACACTGTGGTCCAACACTAGGCTGTGGAGCCCATAGGTCTGGATGGGATCCCAACTCTGCTGCTTATAAGCAGCGTCAATGCCTTTTCCCCAGCTGCTTTTAGCTTTTGGAGCCATGGGTTCTTCAGCTTTATCCCCAGGGCTAAGATAGCACAGCATGGTAGTGCGTGCCTATAAACCGAGGATGCAGAGGACTGAATCTGGAGGCGAGTGAGTTCAGCCAGCTTGGGCAATATAATGAGATCTTGTCTCAGAAGCAGAACAAAACAAAGAATTAGGGCTCAGGGACCCATCTTATTATCTTATGGTCAAGCTAAATGAGATGAGGCTGGCAAAGAATCTTACTATTATTTTTCTCTTAGGGAAACATTGTTTTTATGCTCTTAGAATACTTTTCTCATGTAGAATTGATCCAGATGCATTGTACTCATAAACTGGCACGTTGAACTTAAACTCCTTTGCCCAACTGCTGAACTTATACTTTGGGGACAGAGGAAATTAATGGAGAATTCTGTGTAAACTGGGAAGTTTGAGAGCTTTCAGACAGGTGTCTCACTGGTCTGTTTTCTGTAGTAGCCCTGCACCCAGCCTGTTGCTGGAGCTGGACATTTTCCAGAGCTAAGAATGATGCTGAGATGGCCGGTGGGGGGGGGTGACAGCTGTCCGGCCTGTTTTGTCAGGAAGACTGTGGGCCGTAAAGAGGCTGATGCGGCCATTGTGGAGAGGAGAAGGTGGGGGGTGGAAGGCAATGACTTGCAGCAAGGCAGGTGGAGTGGAGTTAGGGCTCTGTGAGGGCCAGGGAGGTCACGTGAGGACAGGGAGGTCTCAGGAGGACAGGGCACAGACGCCACTCAGAGGTGCACACTAAAGGTTCAGCCTCCTGGGCTCCCCCTGGCGGGCCAGAAGCGAGAGGGCTGGTGGAGAGCCTGCTGCAAACTCAATCGCAACAGATAATGGTTAGGACCCGGATGTAGCAGGCCCAGGGCACTGCCTCTGAGCTTTTTCACTCATGGGCATCACTGTATCATTTAAGCCACAGCTGCACTTCTGGCTTTCTAGTGGTTCATTGGAGAGAAGAGTCTCACTCGTGGATTTTCCTGACTAGGCTGTCTTTGAGCCACAATCCTCAGATCTCAGCCTCCTGAATAGCTAGGATTATAGACAGGAGCCACTGGTGCCTGGCCAGTGTTAGCTTGTCACAGAGGCTGAGGAGCAATCTAGGCAAGAAGTAAATACACACTTGGCCTTAAATGATAGATTTGAGAACCTCAGGTCTGGTGCAGTCCCTACAGGTAGGCAGATTGAGACCCCCAGAAGTCCTGAATTCCTTTTCGAGGCCCGCCTATAACAGCTAGGCCTGCCTTTCCTGACTTTCCAGCAGAGAAGTCCAGGCATCCAGACAGCATTTCTCATTTAGATTTGGAACCCATGAGGTGCCGCTTCCCCTTTCCAGATGTTTGCCTCTTTCCTTCAGTTCCCCGCCCCCTAGGGCCTTCTTATCCAACTGCATTTCTTCTTTCATGGTTCACCAACGTCAACAGTGTACTTGAACCAGCCAGGGTAAGATAGACACGGTCAGTAGTGCTGTAAGGCTGTGTCCGTGTGCCCATGTGCTCTGTTTGTGACAGCTGCCCTGGAGGCGCAGCTGGGCCCCGCCAATCATCATCTACCCCCTTTATGGAGCATGCACCCTCTCTTCATCTATCATGGAGCTTCCAGTCAGCCTGGTCAGCTCTGCGCTCTGTGCACGTGCTGGGCCTTCCCCACCGTGTACTTGGTAGCTGGGCGGGCGATCATCCACAGCTCCCTGGCTGCCCCTTGGGGAAGCATGGTCCCTCGTGGAGGGGTTAGCTGGCCCATCTCTGATAGAAGGTCAGGAAATGCATTGGCATTTCTACACATTGGCATGTGTAGAATGGACTGCCACAGGTGGAATTGCTGGTCAAGACTGCGGGGCGGGGGCCGCTGGGCGCTGGGGAAGAAGCAGCTGGCGCA